GGGATTGGTTGGGGAATGTTATCTTTTCTTATGTTGGTCCTCTTGGGGTGCATACTGCTAATTATGATGAACTATATGCACTTTTATATGGCTTACGTATCTTTGTGGCAAGAAACTTTGAGCTTTACTGCGTCCTAGAATGTGATTCCACGAATGTCATCAAATGGTGTAAAGGGGAGCAGAAGTTGCCTTGGGAGTTCAAATCTTTGCTTCTTCAGATCTTAAACCTCTCTAGTCCCTTTTCCTTTTCTTTTGAATATGTCTATAGGAAAGTGAATGTTATGGTCGATTCTCTCGCTAAAGGGAGTTCTCTCCTTATTGAGACTCTTGTATCTGACTCTATAATCTCGTTTTAGTTTAATGAAATAGTAGAATTTCTATAATAATAATAAATAAATATAAAAAAAATTGATATAGAAAGTTCTTAGGATAGCTCGAGAATATATTTTTATTTCCAATTACAAAATTTTAAACTCTAAAAATAGTTCAAATCAAGTAGATCTATAAACACATGAAAATATTGAAAATGGACAGACAATGTGTTGCAAGATACCCTAATTTTGCGGGCTCGAAATATTATTTTCTCTTCATATTCAGACATCTCGATGTCAAGAGAGATGATCAATTAGATGGAAATGGGCCTGGCCGTGCCCGAGCAGGGCGAACATGGTCCTTGGCCGGCCCTTGTCCCCATAGGGCTGATCCCGGGCCAAAAAGAAATGTAGGGAAAAAAAAAGAAAAAAAGGGAAAAAGAAAAAGAAGCAGGCCAAACCTGGCTGACACTGTCCATTGGCCACAGTTCATGACCCAGACCCTGCATTTTTAGGGGCAGGCTGCCCGGTCCATTGTCATCCCTACATTGGATGCTCAGTAAATGAAAAAAAAAAGATAATTTAAAAAAGACAGAGAGAGGCCGAATAACCAGTATAGCAAGACGGTACATTTTATTCTATCCCCTTAGCAGAAGATGCCGAGCATATGATGGAAGAAATAGCTGTCCTCATTGTTGCTCAATTCTCAGCTCTCCACTCTACAAGCATTCTTAAAAATAAAAAATAAAAAAATAAAAAAATAAAAAAATAATTTACCTCCATGAACCCTACAAAGCTATTACAAGAAGGGAACGAAGGCCTTACACCTTCCCAAAGACAGTATCAGTGGAAACTTGGGGAATGAGGCCGGGGATGAAGGGCACACTCGCGTTCTTGATCCACTCGGTTCCACCGAGGAATCGAGCGACGGTAAACTTTTCGGCATGTTCAGCAGTGATGCTCTTCAATCCACGCCATTTCACTCGTTCAGCGGTTGCTGCTCCAGGACCCCTGTTATCGTACTCTGAGTAAAACAGAGTGTTCAGCGCGAAATCACCCGCCCAGGGGAGCCATCCTGCAGGCTGTACCAAGTCATCTATCTCGGATTGGAGGATGAAAGCTCGAGAATACTCCTTCCATGGCCTCCCCAAGTAAGTAGGGAGCGTATTGCGCAGGGGATAGTATTCAGGGTCTGCCACGATTGAGCAGTTGTGCAGGATTAGGGCAGTGGGTGAGCGGCGGTCGGTGCGGCCCTGAGCAGTGATGGTGTTCTGTTGGTTGTCCAGGGGTTTGCGCACCACGATCTGGCAGTTCTGGAACACCACTGCAGAGTTGCCGAAGATGAAGTCGATGGTACCAGAGATGGTGCACTCACGGTAGAACTGGCGGTGGGTGTGAGCATAAAGGGTGTCCTGGTATCCATCCATCTGGCAGTTGTAGAAGATGGAGAAGTCCGACTCAACACGCAGGGCGACTGCCTGGTGCTTCTCCGCGCCGGCCGAGTTTTCGAAGCCCATGTTCTTCGCGACAAACCCATTCCCAACCACACCTACACAGATCCAACACCATTAGCCAAAGCTATCACTACCATGGTACTGTGTGAGAGACAGTTAACCCCATGGCACTTACCAACTGTTGCGGTGTTGAAGGTCTTGACGCCATCGACAAAGTTGAGGCCGGCAGTGATCACGGACTTGGTCGGTCCGTCACCGATCATGAACACATTGGTCATGTTCTTCTCAATGTTCACATTTTCCTTGTAGATCCCTTCCTTCACATAGATAACAAAGGGCTTAATACCATATGCAGGCACAAGAGCCAGAGCTTCGTTCACAGTTGTGCAATTGCCTGAGCCATCTTGAGCCACCACCACATCGGGAATCGATTCTGCCGGAGTATCTTCCGTGAAGAGCCTCCTCTTGCTCTGAGAAACCCACTCTGGGAAGCCTTCATTTGATGTTGACAAGAGGCGCCTGTTAAAGTTGGGGATCTTGAAGGAGGCAAACACATCAGAGAGCTCAGTGACAATGGCTAGGGTGTTGCTGGTGAGCTTTGTGGCAGTCTTCATGACCTTCTTCATCTGCTCCCCGGCCTTGCTTGTTGTGTTCTCGAACGCGTCCACGCACGTCTCCTATAAATGCATTAGAGACTGCATAAACTTTCCATTCCCACTAACACTAACCCATTAATACCTTCAAAAAGCTAACTTCTAATCTATTTGAAAAAATGGGTAGGGGCTTATCTTTTTCAAAAAACTAACTTCTAATCTATTTGAAAAAAATGGATTGAGGCCTATCTTTCCCCACTGAATTACTCAAAACAAAAAAAACAAAAAAAATAGCATGGCACTATGCCTAGTAGTCTTTGTCCACAGGAAAATGAAGTGTGTCTTAGGACAACAGATTCAATTCATTAGGCTCATTATCCTTGAATAAGCAAAAAAAATTCAAGAGCCTTGGGTTTGCATATTCATGTTCAAGGTTGGTTTATGAGAAATTTGAAACCTCGAGTTCCATTATGTTCTCTACGTAAGAACAAAAATATAAAAAATATTCTAGTTCCGAACTTGGAGTTCCAAGCTAGGGGTATTTTGAAGGAAAACAAAAAATAATATAAAAAAAAGATCATGATCCGAAAATATGAAAAAATCAGGAGTATATAAATACTATGAAAATTAAGAGATATTTATGTAGATTTTCTCAAAAAATATAAGAGATTGTATAGTATGAGACAGTTTATCTTTGTTACAAGGAGGTTACAGTTGATATTAGGCATTATATATCAAATTGGATGGCTTGAGATGTATCATCAAGTTCAATATTTTTTTTTTGAAATTTGAATCTAGTCAATGCCTCATTCACAACTATCCAATTGAAATTTGACATACAAGATTGAATATGATCTCCTTATATTAAAATTACATGGTTTCTTTATATATTTTTCCAAGATATAATGCTGAAAGTTCACCTTTGTATTTATTGCAAAAAAAAATAAAAATGAAAATCAAATGCATAATCATAATTTTGTGTTTTTTATCTACATTCAATTAAAAAAAGGCGACTTGTGTTTTCCCTCATTCTCGTGACAACCACCGCTATATCATCTAGAGTATATTTATTCATTTTTTTTATGGGATTGTATACAATGAAATCATTTATTTTTATTACAAGAAGGTCACAATCACTCTTACTCATTAGATATCAAATTTATTTTTATTACAAGAAGGTCACAATCACTCTTACTCATTAGATATCAAATTGGATGGCTTGGGGTAGTCACAAAATCCAAGAATTTTTTTTTTTTGAACCTCTAAATCTTTTCAATGATAATCTTACAACCACTTAATTTGAAATCCAAGTGATAAAAGTGATTGTGACCTCCTTATACAAAAAGCAAACGGTCTCTTTATATACTTTTTTTTTTATTTTTTATCTCCCTTAATCTAATTATTGCAACAACTCCACCCACTGTGTTACCAGATCCCACTACCTTCGTACCTCTTAGTTAATGACTGCATCCCCTTACCTTCAAGTTCACAAAAACAGCACCTCGTTTCTATTTCCATACTAATTAGACATCTATTTTTGAAAAAATTTTATATAAGGTTGACCCCATAAAATGTAGAATTATGGTGTACCCCTACAATCCTTTGAAAAATATTATTTTGATGTTAGAAAAACTTTCAATTGGCCATCTCAACATTGATATATACAAATATAGAGGAAAAAAAGATTTCCAAGTCCTAAAAAAATTACATCTTGCAAAACATTTTCTAGACCGTCCATTTTCAATATTTTCATTCATTCATTTATGGATATGTTTGATTTGAACCATTTTTAGAGTGTAAAATTTTATAATTAAAGACAAAAATATATTAATACACCATCCTAAGAATTTTCGATACCAAATTGCATCTCATGAAAAAGTTTGAAGTTGCACCTTAATTTTATTAATGTTGCAACCTTGTGTAAACCATACCCTTTATTTTTTCATTCCTATTACTTCATCATTTCTACTCATAATATTTTCATCTACCTTAATTCGAATATTCCTGTAATCCATAATCGTATTTATACATTCCTTCTTTCAAATCTCTCCTTCTACCTGTCACACTGCGGGTTTAAATTCTTGCATATCACCTTTCATCTACAGCTACAGTCCCCAACATTTCTTTAGCTTTGCTCTTCTGTATACAATGCCATCCGCTTCCTCCCTCTCTCTCTCTCTCTCTCTCTCTCTCTCTCTCTCCTC